GAAAAGAAGGGGAAGAAACGCCTGCTTCCGATCCGTATGGAAAGCCCTATTTCATGCAAAGTTGGGGTTGGAAAAGAACAGAAATATCGACGGAATCTATGAAGAGGTCAACAGTTTCATCCCGTTTGCTTGTGCCGGTTTCTACAACTTGAGAAACGGACCTTGTCCGAGAAGACCTGCTGAATTCTGTGAACGTTGATGGGAGGGAATCTCGAGGAATTCATAGAAAATTGGGTGAAAAATTCGGACGTCGCTACTCGAACCATCACTCCACAGTATGAGCAGAATTTCATTTACTTTCCCCACAACAGAGGTCCGCTACATACAACAAAATTGAGTCAGCATTATTGGAGCTCCAATATTGGGGATGGTACTGGGAAGGAACGTGGGAACGCTTTGGTTCGCCGTCGTCAAAGACGGTGAGAAAATCAGTGTAGACACAGAAAAACTGCAGATTGTCGTTGCATTTGTACCTCGTGCAAGAAACATTTCCTTAGAACGAAAGGGTTTTGTCGTTCGTCGTGATGAACGTCGTACCTGTCCCTTGGGGTCCTTTCAGGACGAATCCAAATTCACCAGCAGGTCCTTCAAGACTATGGCGGGTGATCCATCAGTCTAATGTATTGGTTCGTCTATTCGCTTTCTTACCCTATTGGTTGTCCCACGTGGTTGAAAGCTGCAATATCCTCCTCCTTGGGGAGGAGACTGGGGGATTGAGAGTGCTGATCTGCATCGACGAAACGTTGAAAGGGTAGCCCTTCGGCTGTTAGTCGACGGTCATGATGCAGACCAGATGGAGCATTAATGTTGTTTGCTGCAAAATATAAGCTCAATGGACCCTCAAGCCGTTTGAGTCCATGACAATATCCCATAGATGCCCAAATCTAACAGTCCAAAGGCATATTTCGTTGTTTTGCAGCCTCTAATTTTTCAATTTATCATCTTCTTGGGCAAATGGGGCTCCCTTTCTTACCAAGGCTTATGTAAGACATTCTCAGCAAGAAAGTCTTCAGAGTGAGCAAGACTTTGTCATGGGAACAACAATAACAACGATGCCAATACATCACTTCATGGCCATCTGCCGCCAGAGGCACAGCTCGTCAAAGGACCGACTGCGCTTCTTCTTGTCGCGTGCGCGAAGATTCTCGTCAATCATCAGAAGACGTTGATTAATGTCACTGTTTGGCGTTACGTATCGGGTGGTGTGTGTAATTACGGATGTCGCGCACGCAACAACAGCAACATCATTTACATTATTCGAATACGATGGTAAATGATGCACTGCTCTCTCATTATCATTAGATTGAAGATTCGCTCCAATAAGATTGTGGGGGACACCCGCTTCCTTGGGATGTCCAATGCCTAATTGGATCTTTCGGGTGGTGGAGAATGACGGGTAAAGGGCTATTTACTGCGTT